GTAGTACATGTTACTCCTACTCGAGTTCCATGGCCTAATGCAAGCAACATACCCAAAGCTGATGTCAGTGGAGTAGGGATATATGATCTTTTCATATGGTGGGGCCCCACAGAGAGGGTTAATGAATGAGGGTTTTTGAACGATTGTGAAATCCTCTTAGTCTGCCTTCTTTGTCACAAATACGGCCTTTGTGTTTCTTCTACATCAAAATAAACACATATCCTTCCCCAGGGAGACCACCCAACTGACCCATCTAATCATGGCATCAGGCTCAAGTCCAGGACCACTAATAGTCTCTGTATCAGGTCCAGAGGTGGCTTCTCTTGAGCCAGAGACCTATGAACCAAAATGATCACCATCATCACCATCATCACAAGTTACCTCCCCCACACACATCCAACATATGAAGTGGAACAGGGACAGGATAATAGCAGTAAACACTCCCATTTAGAAGGAAGAATGGGAGACACACAGCATTTACTGGTCCACAGTAATTGCAACATCCTGCTAAGCAGATGTTGCAAAGGCCCCCCACCTTTACCTGGGAGTGGGATTGCTTCCTGGGACTAGTTCCCTAGTTCCCATAGAGTAGCTCATCCTTTCCCATTTATTCTCCCTGGCCACATTTGAGAAAACATTGGAGGTTATGCCCTTCTGAGGCAAAGCAGCTTTCCGTCTCCTTTATGCCCATAGAAATTTGGGAACCCTCAAGGTCTTGAACATTCATGGTCTTTTAAAAATCCAACCTAGTGGGGGTGCCTGGGTGGCTCAGATGGTTAAGCATCTGCCTTCGGCTCAGGTCATGATCCCAGGGTCCTGGGATCGAGCCCCACATCAGGCTCCTGGCTCAGCGGGGAGCCTGCTTCTCCTCCTCCCTCTGCCTCTCTCCCTGCTCATGCTCTCTCTCTCCCTCTCTGTATCTCTGTGTCTCAAGTGAATAAATAAAATCTTTAAAAAAAAAAAAATCCAACCTAGTGGCTTTTTGTGTGGAGGGAAAGCAGCTTCTTATCTATTTGATTCCAGTCAGTTCTATGGGCTAACTGCCAAACCCACAATTCTCTTCGGACATGCCTCTCTCTTTAGATTTAATTGTAAGCAAATGGAACCTACTAACTCCTTTGGGAATTGTACTCTTAATCTCACTTTTCTGAATTACCTTGACTAACTGAAAGGCTTTACTGGGAACCACTCTGACCAATTCAGAAGTTTCTACAAAAGGCATGAGAGTCATACACTTGATAAGACCCTTGCCACAAAGATTAATTTCACTCAAACTTTTCAGCTTAAGGGCCTTGTCAACTGTATCTTTCACTGGTTAAAAATGTAGATCACCTTCCTGGAGTTTCTATAATCTCTTCCATTTCTTTTTTTTTTTTTTAAGATTTTATTTATTTATTTGACAGAGAGAGACACAGCGAGAGAGGGAACACAAGCAGGGAGAGTGGGAGAGGGAGAAGCAGGCTTCCCGCGGAGCAGGGAGCCCGATGCGGGGCTCGATCCCAGGACCCTGGAATCATGACCTGAGTTGAAGGCAGACCTGAGCCACCCATGCGCCCATCTCTTCCATTTCTGCCTAAAAACTGGCCAATTATTTTCGGAGTCATCTCTTTCTTACAGTAACTTGTCAAATGCACCCCCAAAGCAATCAAGTCATGCTACTAATATTCTTTCTCAAATTCTTTTTTCCCTAAAGCCCCAAGCTCATTTGGACATTATTTATATTCTTACTTATTTCCAGCCTACCATTTAACCAAATGCTTCACCACTGCCTAACACATATCACCATCTTTCCAACTTCCACTAATGGTTTCCTCATCAGCCGGTGCCTAGCTCCAGAGCCAATGGCACATAATTCAGATTCATTTTTAATGTGGTAGCACCCACTTCTGGGTACTAGTTCTGTGACAGTTGGTTTAGACTTATTCTGATGTGGCAACAACTATTCTCCAAATATCAGTGGTTCGCAGCAAGTGGGAAAAGAAAAGGCAAGCTGCCAGGCTACTTACTGACACTTAAATATCTGAAAGTGATACTTTACATTTCTACTCACATCCCATTGGCCAAAGCAAGACATATAGCCAAGCCTACTATAAGTGGGGCACGAATGGATATAATCCTATAGTGAGTGATCCAGTAGAAAGGACAGTATATATTTGGAACAATAATACAGTCTATCACAGGGCTGTGATATCACGAGAAATGTCAATCACTGAGCCCGTCCACTCCTCCTTTATACACACTCTGCGGCAGTGTTTTGTACCATGTAAACACTTCACATACATCGTGGTCAAGGGTAAAGTCTTGACTCGAGCTCAATTTAGGAACTTTTTTTTTTTTAAAGATTTTATTTATTTATTTGAGACAGAGAGAATGAGATACAGAGAGCATGAGAGGGAGGAGGGTCAGAGGGAGAAGCAGACTCCCCACCGAGCAGGGAGCCCGATGCGGGACTCGATCCCGGGACTCCAGGATCATGACCTGAGCCGAAGGCAGTCGCTTAACCAACTGAGCCACCCAGGCGCCCTCGAGCTCAACTTATAGGCTGGTCAAAGTAGCCTGACCCAGACCAGTCAGGTTCTTTTTCCTGGCAATCTGAACCATAAAATATCGAGTCAATGAGGCAATAAGCGGGGAGAGCTACAGCTGAAAAGTTATGATGCAAGATGGATTTGGAAAAGCCACACCCAACCAAGACCCTGTTCCCTGAAAGTTGGGCTGAGAGCAGCCAAGACAGGATTTCAGTGCAAAACCTGCCCTTAACTCCTCATTTAGGTCAGCTCCCCGCAGGGAAAGGGTATACACAGGGGAGCCTGTGAAATCTCCAGTGCATGGGTCCACCTGACTGCTAGGTCTGCCCCAAACTTTGCCACTCATCTGTTCAAAAACCTTCCATGTGTCCCCTAGCCCCCAGGAAAAGTTCAAACTACTGGGCCTGGCATCCAAGGCCTCACTCGGCCATCTAGTTACGTCTGTCAGGAGGTTCTGGACCACTTCCTGGGTGAGACAGGTAAGCAGGCTTTCAGGGGTGGCGCTGTCCAGCAAAGCCAATACAAGGTCACATACCGCACACTGACATCCAGGTGCGTAGATGTGACGCAGTCCCAGCATAGATCTGATCATCTCTATCAGATCCCAGTAGGTGCCAGTGGGTTGTGCAGTTTTCCTCTGAAGGCAGAAAGGTGAGGGGGTGGACAAAGGCGACCAATAGGGCAGAATTCCGCTGAAGATGCAGGCCGCAGGGGAAGAGATGGAGAATTAGGGAAGCCCGGAGGCCCCGTATCTAAATCAGTCTTCTAGTGGGGCAGGATCCGTCTGGCCCCGCAGTTTTCCCAGCGAGTGGACATCCAGGTTGTGTTTGCACACTGGTGAGAATGAGGAGCTCTTTCCTGAGGTATCTAGGGCTTCATCTGTACACAGGACACATGAGCTCAGGCAGGACAAAGGCGTGGGTACCCTTCCAGACTCGTGCAGCTGCCAAGTTCAGCGGTTAGGGAGGGGGACCCAGCCACGCCTTCTCGGGTGAGGTCCCTGACTCACCCTACCCTCTCAAGCCCGTGCCCCCTCCGCCTCATTTAGAGGTTTGATCATGCCCCGCCCTGTGATCCAATCACTTTTGGGTGCGACAGAGGACTCGCCGAGGCCCCTCCCATATCCGCGCAAGGCTAATTGTGGTTTAATACCCCGGGCTCACTCCCCCAGGAGGTCCCTGAAAGTCCTACAGACCAATCCTGATGCTCCTTAGGAGCAACATTTGTTCCGCGGGCCAATCATTTTCCACTTGCGGCCAGGCCACGCCCCCTACACGAGGGGCCGAGCAAAGGCTCGGACCTGGCGCAGGCGCCTTGCAACAGCCAAGCCAGGGTCGCTCGAGGGCCACTGGGAGGCGCTGCAGGCGGGTGCCCAGGTGGAAGGAGGCAAAGCAGGCAGGGGTCACTGGGGCCTAATCCCGCCCTCTGGCTCCTCCCCCAGGCCGGGCCCAGGGGCGGGGTCCGAGACTGCACCAAGGCCATCACGTCCAGCCCTTCTATGACTCGCGGCACCCCAGCACCCGAAGCAAGCGGTACTGCGGCCAGATGGGCGGGGCAAGGGCAGCCTGGAGCAGCAGCAGCACGGGCCTGTGGCATCGAAAGAGGGATGGGACGCGGTGGCTGGAACCCAGCCCCCAGACCTTGTTTGGGGTCAGGCGCCGCCCCACTCCAACCAGGCTTCGGAGCCAGGAGCTAGCCTACTCCTGAAACCAGGTGTCTGGGGACAGGTGCCATACCCAGCTCTGGAAACCAGGCTTCTGGACTCGGAACTCTTAGAAATCTAGAGCTGGGGCCTGGAGCTTAGGTGCCTCAGAGAAACCAGGGGTCAGGCTCCTCCCCCTCTTCTACTGCTTCAGCAACATAGCCCCCTAGTAACCAGGTGTGTTGATCCAGAGTCCCTGGCTCTCTAGGCCAGACTCTTAGGTCAAAGGCTATGCCCTTTTCTGGGCACAGGGCTGCCTGCTCCCCTCTGCCTGGCAACTCTCCCCTGCTTCTTCCCATACTGGCTCCTCCTCATTTAATGTTCCACTCAAATGTCACCCCTTCTGAGACAGGCCTTTCCCTGTTCACTGTATCTGAAGTAACAGCCTCCATTACTCACGGTGCCTCTTCCTGGCCTCAGGAATACCCGATGCCCACACACATCTCACCTATGTCCCAGCCTGGCCTGGCCCAGCTTCACTGCTCTGGGGTTAGGGGCTCCCAGTAGTCTTTCCCCAAGGACAATACTGAGCCAGATGCGGGTGTTAGCCCCTCCCTGTCCCACCTGTTCCTACGGAGAGAAGGGCAGTGCCAGCTTGCTGTGGTCACAGCACCTAGAACGGTCTGATTTGAGTCTCCCTCGGCTGGGCCTGGCCCCAAGGATGGCCAGGAAAAGGGGAGGCTGGATGCCTGAAGGGCCTGGGCCGGCCCTTCCAGGAACACACATGCACATGGCAGTCTCCAAGCACTCTTTTTTTTTTTTTTAATTTCTTACAAAACCGTGTGTCCCAGCCAAACAGGACGCTGCAGGCCGTCCCCCAGGCATTGTGGCCTGAGTGGGGAAGCCCCCATGAATGAGAGGCTGGCAACCCCAGGAGAACTGTCCGCCCCTCTGCTCAGGGCCAGTGTGAGGAAGGGGATCCCGCTGGAGGCTCTGTCCTGCCCTCCCCCCTCAGCTGCTGGGAGAGAGGGCAGGCCGGGGTCTCTGGTGCTCTTAGTGCCTGCAAGGGAAGGAGGGAGAAGAGGGTCTGAGGGGACGAGGAAAGGCTGGGGCCTGGGATGAGGCAGGCCAGGGGGCAGGCCCACAGTATCTCACCAAGAATGTGCGAAGCTCTCAAACCAATGTGGTGATACCAATGATGACTGCCACAATGACGACAGTGACAGACACACAGATGGCGATCAAGACTTTCTTCTGCGGGAGAGGAGTTCAGGGAAACTCACTCAGGAGGGGAGGAAAGACCACCAGGGCCGGGGAGGGGAGGGGAGAAGAGGGGAGGGGAGGGGAGGCCTCACCTTCCGAGCCTTCTTCTGGTTTTCGAGGGCAATCTTGACATGTTCCTGCCCGCGTTCCACATAGTCTGCTGAGCTCAGGATGTTCTTCTCAATCCGGTTGATCATCTCCCCCTGCTCAGAGGAGGGGGTGGTTCAGGCAGGTAGGGATGACCGGGGGTGGAAGGCCCAGCAGACCCTCTGCTTGCTCACGCTAGCCGCCTGAAGGCCGTCTGCCGGCAGCAAACACAGCACTAACAAAGGTGTGGGGCAGGACCACATCGGACAAAAGTTCGCACACCTGAGGGCGGCTTCCGGGCTCCCTTTTATCATGTGGTCCCTTCCGCCCTGCTCCCTTACCCCCTACAACCTTCATGTGCTGTGGTGGCTTGGAGCCAAGTGCTCATACCTTTTCACAGAGGGTGAACTTTTGTCCCTTCGTAATCTGTCTGAATTCGCCCATTCTTCTAGGCCTGCCTCCCAACAGCTGTGAAGCCCTCCCCATCCCTGCCTCCTCATGGCACCGCCAGCCTTCAGGTCCTAGTACTCCTACTGAATGAAATCCCTCCCCCAGTGGCCCCAAGGCCACTGGCTGCAGCACTAGGGGTCAGCTCCTCCAGGACAGGGCTGGAAGCTTACCTCACCCCATGAAACCAGGGGCAGCAGAAGACCACTCCCACCCCAACCTCATACAGATTTGCGGAGGCAGGCCCTCTGAGGAGTGAGGGCCAGCCTCGGGGGCGGGGGGGACGAAAGCCTCGGGGAGAGAGGCTGGAGGGTGGAATGGGCCGATAGTCACAGCGGGGGTTCTGACTGAACACGGTCTCATGTCAAGCCCAGCCGGCCATCTTGGGTGCCCACCTGCATCTCCACTTCAGTAGCCAGAAAAGTGAAGATCTCATGAAGTTCACGGATACTGCGTTCAAGCTGCTGGATCTCACTGTGCCGGGCAGAGATCTCATTTAGGGCCTGTCGAGTCACCTGTGTGTCCTTCAGTATCTGGGGAGTGGATAGAAACGGACAGACAGGTCACGGGGAACCCGGCAGCAGGTCAGAAGTTCCTGTTGAGCTCTCAGGCAGCCCTCGGGCTTAGAACTGGGGCTGGGGCCCCGATGAGTGACTCTAGGCCTGCTAACTCCTTCCCCTCCGGGCCTCCGTATCCCCTCAATCAGAGAAGATGAGAGTCCCAGAAGAGGGAGGCTAGCTGTGGCCACTCACATTGGACACAAACACCTCGCTCTGCCCACTGTCCAGCATCTGTTCCAGCTCCTCATCAGACACCATTCCAGCATTCGCTGTGAAGGAAAAGGCCAGGCTCAGAGCTGGGTCAGGTTACCTGACCCTGGAGGCCAGACGCCACAACTCACTGATCTTCAGCTGCCGCCGAATCCGCTCCACGTTCTTCTCCCGGTATTCGGACTGTGTCAAGTTGCACTTGTTGATGAGTTCCACGAATTGCTGGGACAGGACCCCGTGCTAGTGGTAGAGAATATAGGCTGGGCACCCCGGAAGGATTTGGCCTCAACATCCCCACGGGTACAGCGAGCAAACAGCGTAAGCTGTTCTAGGTGCCTGCCCCCTTGACCACCATTCTCTCAAAGTAAAAGCCAAAGCCCTTACCAGGGCTTATGAGGCCCTGCATGACCTTCCCTTTCCCCCATTTCCCCTGTGACCTTACCTCTTCCAGCCGTTCCCTCCCTCACTCCCTCCAACCATGGTGGACTCCTCTCCCCTTGCCCACCAAAGCCACCCCCACCTCAGACTTCTGCATTCACTGCTCCCTGGGCCTAGAATGCTCATGCCCCACAGAGGTCACCTTCTGCCATCCAAGTACTAACCAGGCCCGACCCTGCTTAGCTTCCGAGATCAGATGAGTTCGGGCGCGTTCTGGGTTGAGGTCACCTTCTGAATGAGGTTTTCTCTACCTTACTAAAACGGCAACCTGCCTTCTCCCAGCACTCTCAACCCCTCTTCTCCTCAGTTCTCCCCTTAATGCTTAACTGTGTTCTAAAATAATGTACATATTCACTATGGTGTTTGTCTCTCCCCACCAGAACGTAAGCTCCATGAGGATAGGGTTCTTTGGTTCACTGCTGGATCCCCAACAGCTAGAAAAGGGTCTAGCACACAGTAGGCACTCAATAAATACCTGTGAATGCTTGCTGAACACCAGCCTCACTGCTTAGACTAATATACCTGGAGGTCAGTCCATTGCCTAGATTTTACAGGTCCAGCTGCGCCCTCAGCCTCTCACACTGATGGCCACTACAGGCTCCCCCTGAAACGTCCTCTCATCTTGTCCATTCCCCTGTTGCCTTCAATGTGTTCATTCCTTGGAGCTCCTTCCTCAGAGACATATCTGCTCTCCTGCCTTCAGCTGCACCCTTGCAAGATGCCCAAACTGCTCTACCTTCAATCTAGGGGACTTGCTGAGCTCTGGGCCCACCTACTCCAACTCTGACCTCCAGGAAGTAAAATTACTCCTCACTGGGCACCCGGGGCGGGGGGTGGGCAGTTAGATCACCTCAAATCTCCTTACTAAGATGTTGATTCAGTGACCTTCCATCTCCAGGGAAGTTCCTCTTCCTCACTTCCTGAATTCCACCCATGGCGCAGAGCATGTCCCTGTCACATGGGCAGGAAACCTCCCAGTCATTTATGACTGTTCCCCCTTCTTCCCTGGGCAGGGATATTAGCTACCAAACCCTATGTGAGTAATGTCTTTGTCATCTAGTCAAGCTTGACTCCCCATCTTGGTTTCTAGAAAGCATGCCTTCCACAGCCAAACCCAGGTCATATCTGGGGACTCAGCAACTTCTCATTAAATGGACAAGGTGACAGGATGTTAAGTGGACTGGGAGTCGGGAGTCTTGACCTTGGGCAAGTCCTTCTTCTCTCTCAACCTCAGTTTCCCCATTTGAAAACCATCAGATTGGACTTGATCTCTAAGAGCCCTTCCTCCTTACTTCGGCCATCTAATGATCTATGAAACCCTTGCAAAATGTCTTAGTTCTGGGAATAATAACCCACCTGGGTTTTTCTCATCCTTGTGTTGACTGAGTTATAATTCTCATCAGCTTCCTCATTCTGGGGCTCTATGGCTGTGGGAAGATACAAGGGTATTAGTGGGGAAGGGGATTTGATCTGTGATTTCGGAAAATCATGTGGGAACCAGGACACAGGGCCAGGGCCATACCCCATCCATGTAACAGAGAGGTGCTTATCTCCATGGGATTCTTTTGGGAATTATAATTGATCATAAATGACTAATTCTGAGCCTCTGATGGGAGAAAGTATATTTTTCTTTGCAGTACATCAGAGAATTCGCACAGGTGTACAGAGGCCTCTTGAGAAACCCCCATCTGCCTGTCCAAAGAATGCACATTGGGCAGCAAGAATTGTAGGAGTAAATAGTTTCCTTTTAAATAAAGGAGCTCGAGAGGCAGGCATGTGCTGTGCAAAGTAGGAAGCCAGGAGAAAGAGATTCTAGGCCTAGGCCTGCTGTGTGACCTGGATACATCACTGGCCTCTCTGGGCCACACACTCCCCAGATATACCAGGAGCTGGGCTGGACCACAGGGAAGGATCTGTCTGAGGCCCTAGGAGCTCACCCTTCAGCTGCGATCGGATCTCCCTCCCCAGCTGTTTGATCTCCTCACGCAGGTTCTGCAGGTCCTGCTTCATACCTGAACAAGAGAAAGCCATGACTCCCAAACAGCAGCCCCTACCTCAACAAACCTCCCTGGCCACCACCTGCATGGAACTACAATCCCCACAATCCCTCTGGCTGAGCTTGCGTTTGCACTTGGGGTTTCACTCACTTTCCTCGGGAAGGGGCGTGGCCAGGATGGTGACCTGCTGCTTCTCCAACTCCCGGACTTTATTCTCCAGCTTGACAATAGTCTGTCGAATTGTCCGGACCTGGGGAAGGTGACCGAGACGGCTGAAGGAGATAAGGGGGTACTCCAGACCGCGCTGCTCCTCGGGTCATCCAGCCCCCTCGCGAAGACAGGGCAGAGACCCCAGCTTCTTACCTTCTGGAAGAACTCATCGTCCGGGCTCCCCAGCCGTGCCGTGCCCGGGTGTACCACGAGCGCGACCCGTTCCTTGTCCTCATCGTCCGAGCTGTCATCCCCCTGCCAGGGCCGGGGTCACTGGCATCACTTCCTTGCTGTTGCTTTCTCCCCGCAGGACTCACGGACTTCCGGGTCTTTCCTTCCTAGCCCTCAACCTCCCCTCCCTGCCCCGAAGACCAGGAGTCCTGTATTCCAGCCAGACCCCGTCCCGTCCGCCCGTGTCCAACCCTGCAGCCCCCACTTCTCACCTGCCTCAGTTCGTGGGTCCTGTCGCGCATGGTGGCCCGAGCTCCCTCTCCCCGGCGCCGGAGCCCCGAGGGCCTCAAGACTAAGTTTGGAACTCCCGTACCGCACTCGCACTCTGACAGTGACACTCCCCTCCGCCCTCACCCTGCAGACCCCCAAACCTCCCCACGAGCCACCAGAGGCTCTGTCCCGGGCACCATCCACAGTCAATGGGAAGAAGCCGACCTCGGGGACCCCCCAAGATTCCACAGGTTGGAATTCCCTTTTCTTTCCCCCCCTCCCGCACCCGCAGCCTCAGCCCCGCCCCTCTGGGATGATCGGGGCATGCGCACGGGGTCGCGTCTCTTCCTCGCCCGAGGGAGAGGTTGAGGTCGGAAGCTGCGGCGCCCCGAACGGAAGCAAAGCTGCCAGGACGTGAGAACCCGCCCCCTTTGCCGGAACTGTCGCATCTTCCAACGGAAATCTAGTTGCCAAACCGGGTGGGAATGCGTCATTGGTGCGTAATCTAAGAGGCCCTGCATCTCACATCACCCCATGGTGCCCCCCCCCACGTCACATGACCGGCCCGGTCCCACCTTCGCGGACCACAGAACGTGACGCTCTGATTGTCACGTGTCTCGGCGCTGTCAACTCCGTCTCTGGAACACCCTTCTCCCCACGACGTCTCCGGCACCCTGGCGCCCAAGCTACGCCCCTCCAGCCCCCACGAAGCGGGGAGGGGGCTACTGGCTATCCCCAGAGACCTTTTGAGGCAGTGGGTGGTAGGCCCCTTGCTGAATTCGGCTTCATTTCTTTTGGGTCCGGGGGTGTGGGCAGACAGAGAACTTAGAATTCGCGGCTGTCACCATCATGGGACCTTGAAATTCAGAGAATATTAAGATCCAGCGTTAGAGAATTGCAGGGTTTTGTAGGCAGAGAATCTGGGGGTGGAAAGTGACCTCACCCAAGGCAGAAATCTCTTCTCCCGCATACTCCTGGCGCAGCCTCTGACAGGTGGGCGGCTGGCGCCCTGCTTGAACACTGCAGTTCCGCCGCACTCACCACCTTCTGAGCATGAGACCATTTCAGGGTAACTAAAGCTGAGAAAAGTGTCTGTATTACATTGAGCAGTCTGCCACTTACGTCTAACTCCCTACCTAGCATCTGGGTCTACCCTCTGAAGCCCGCAAAAAAAAATCTGCACACATTCCACATTATAGTGGACTGTGAGCTCTTGAGGTCAGGGCATGGCAGTTCTGTTCTTACCTGAATCCCCAGTACCCAGCACATATGGGTCCTCAATAAATATCTGTGGACAGAAATTTAGCCTTTCATATATCTGAAGATAAAGCTCGTGGTTCCCTAGTCTTTCAGGCTTCAGCCTCTCATGGTGACACTGCCCTAGCCCTCTAGATGGTCACTCATTCAATGGATATTTATTGGGCATTTATTATGGGCCAGAGACTGTTCTAGGGGTCAGAGATAAATCAGGGCCTAAAAGACAAAACACCTTTCACTTATGAAACTTAGATTATGTAAGAGGAGTCCCCAAGGCCACTCAGTGAGTCTCAGCACAGCCAGAATAAAAATCAGGTCTCCTGGATTCCAGGGCTCTTTCCAGGGAACTTACATGAAGGTTCAAGCAAAGGAAAGAATGGCCTCTCTCTAGTATGCCCCGGTAAGAAAATCTAGATTCCTGTGACTGAGTTGGTATGGATTTCTGGAAAGTGACTTCTTTGTCTCTGGGCCTCAACCTCCCATCTATACAATGGGTGGCCTAGAGGGATGGGGAGATCATCTTTATGGGTATTCCCTGCTCTAAAGTTCATTGATTATGAGGTTGGAAACTAAAAATGCTGTCTGATTCTACTCGAAGGGCTTTGATCCTTCTATTCCCTTCAGAACCCAGCTCACCTGGGGTTGGGAACGAAGGAGTGAAGATGGTGTGCAGCTCTGATCAACCTACAGGAGGAATGAAGGGTTGGAGGGATTTCGGGAGGCCAAGCCCTGCCCCTTGGGGTCCCCTGGAGATCATGAAGAAGGATTTCTCCACTTTAGGGTCTTTTATATCAGCCTCTGCCTCCCTGCCTCCCCCCATTCCCTCTCTCTCTCGCTCTCTCTCTCTCATACTTTGTCTCTCTGAGTGGGACAGTGGAAGGGCTTTTGGACATCTGACTCCCAGTCCTGCATGTGGTCTTGAATAACTCATTGCTCTTCTCTGGGACTTAATTTCTCCATTTGACAACTTGGTCTGGTAATTTCTGCCTTGCCTAAGGTAAGAATTGAACAGTATCAAGTGAGGTGAAAAAGACTATGGAAGCATCTTGTGAACTGTTGAGGGTTGCCCCCTCTGTGGGCTTTTACGACTGTGGGTTCCAGCTCTCTCTAGGACCACCAGTCCCACCTGCCTCTCTGTTAGCCTCTTGATGGTTTGCCTTCTCAGTTCCCAGCTGTGATCTGGAGTTGTTGGTGCCTTTGTTAAATTTCCCAGGATTATGATACTCATTATTGTATTTGTGGTCTCTGGGTGGGATCACAGGGTTTGGAATGGTGGCTTAAGGCCACTGGAAGCTGGGCTTAAAGCCTCATGGAGTGGTATGTGGAGAGGGTGGGGCGCAGGGTCCATATAGGGAGAATGGCTCTGGAGATGGAGTTCTCTAGAGCTGAGTCCTTATCTCTATTTCATGACTTGGGGGTTATTCCTTTTGGGACCTCTGAACAAGCTTGAAGTGTGTGTTAAGTATATTGGGTCTTGGATGTGTAGGTATTAGGGCTGTGTATGTGTGTTCCTTTCAGTCTGTGGGAAGGTCAAGCCCTACCCAGTCCCAAGGCATGGCAGCCGGTCCGGTCCCCTCCACCTGCAGGTCCCTCCTACCAACATCCTACCTGTACTGGAGCCAGATGACCTGGGCTGGAATCCCAGCTCATTCACCTCATCGTACAACTCTCTAAGGCAAGTTACATAACTTTGCTATGCCTCAGTTCCCTCATTTGAGAAATGGGAACAATAACAGTACCAACCTCAAAGGATTGCCGGAAGGATTAAATGAGATGATATGTGTGAAGTGAATAGAACAGGGCCTGGTACGGACTGAGTGCTATGTGTTTGCTGCCATTATATGGCGGTGCTGCTGCTGATCATTACCCTGAGGGGGTGAGCAGCCCCAGTGTCTCCGCACGGATTCCTCTCTGCTCCTTGTCCAGGGTCTCCTTCCGCTTTCCATCTCCTGCACCCCACTGTGCGTCAGGTATGAGGCTAGGGACCTTGCCAGCTTCTCATGTCTCTCATGTCTCCACCTGGATCTGACACACCATGTATTTTTTATATTATTTATATTAATTTTATATATTGTCTGTCTTCACTCCTCCTCTCCACCTACCAGAATGGAAGCTCCACAAGGACAGGGATTTTCACCAGTACCTCCAGGAGCACCTGGCAAATGGTAGCTGGTCAATAAATATTCATGAATGAATGAGGTTATTATTTTTAATGTAATATTTATAGAGCATTTGCTATGTGCCAGGCACCAGTATTAGCACTTTGTAAAGATTAACTCATTTAATTTTCATAAGCAGTTCTACAAGATAGGTACTGTTATTGTCCTCATTTTACAGAGGAGGAAACTGAGCCACAGAGGTATTAAGTAACTTGGCGAAGGTTACACAGTAGGGAAGGAGAGAGTCGGGATTTGAACCCAGGAAGTGGAGCTCTAGGTTCTGCGCTCTTGTCCTCTCCACTATGATCCAAGGAAAACGTGGGCCGGGGGAAGGCGCACTGTGTCCACCTACCTTTGGGAACTTGCTGCCACCTGCTGATGCCCTGCTTTAGATCATCTGTGGGGAGGAGAGGGGGAAGACTTTGCCTGCAAGACTGAGCCTTCTCCCCTCCCCTGTCACAGGGTCTCTCTTCCACACCTGCTGGGAGGGGCTGACCGCTGGGAGGTTCTTTGTCTTCTTCCCACTCCCTATTTGCTCTGGCCCCAGGAGCCAAAGATACTCATGCATGTTTCACATAAAGGGCTTCTGTTTATCCTACAGGTCTCTGAGGCGGTTTTTGTGCCAAGCCCCAAGGCCCACAGAGATGAAGCCCCCACAGCTTTCTCCTCATGATTGTGTTTGTGGCCTGACTTTGACCACTCCCTAGAGTTCCATCTGAGAACCTCTCCTCTTCAGACACTACACACAGTCTTGTGGCTTTAACTGGCTCCCAAATCCGTATCTCTAGGCCCAAATTTTCTCCTGACCTCCAGATCCTTGAATCCACTTGTCTCCCGGACATCCCTTCCTGGAGGTCCCAGAGGCACCTTAAATTCAACAACATGTTTCAAACAGGATGCATTGTCTCCCCCTGAGAATCTCCTAAACTAGCTTCTATTTCTCCTGTTGCCTCTCCACGTGGGTTACTCCTGATCACATGGGCCATAACCTTGGCCTTGAACTTCATTTTAAAAGTGATGGATCACACAATTTGTCAGGATAAGCTCCCCTAAAAATACTGGAAGAAAATATGGGCAAAAATTCTTTATAACTCTTAGAGTGAGGAAGCCTTTCCAACTCCAACTCAAAACTCAGAACCTATAAAAGATTAATACATTTGTCTACATGGAAAAAAATTCTGCATGGCAAAAAAACATCAAAGCAAAATCAAAAGACAATAAACTAGGAAAAAATATTTGCAATTCTTATCATATACAAAGGGTAATCTCTCTGCTATTTAAAGGGCTTCTTCATATTGATAAGAAAGACCAACAGTTCAATAAAAAATGGGCAAAGAACATAACAGATCACAAAAGAGAAAATCCATAAGGCCTTAAACACTTATGCAGATGTTCAACTTCACACATAATGAGAGAAATGAAAAGACAATGAAATGAAATGAAAAGAAATACTGAAATGCCTTTTTTTCCTTTATTGCATTAGCAATAACCCATTATATCTCACAAAACATTTTGTTTTGTCACTCTTTTGGCAAGACTGTGGGGAAACAGGGACTTTCACCCGTTGTTGGCAGGAATGCAAAATGGTACAACCCAGATAATATTTTTTTTAAAGATTTTATTTATTTATTTGAGAGAGAGAAAGCACACGAGAGGGGGGAGGGTCAGAGGGAGAAGCAGACTCCCCGCTGAGCAGGGAGTCCGACGTGGGACTCGATCCCGGGACTCCAGGATCATGATCTGAGCTGAAGGCAGTTGCTTAACCAACTGAGCCACCCAGGCGCCCGACCCAGATAATATTTATCAAAATTATAAATGTATACACACTTTGAGCCAGCATTCTCACTTGTGAAAATCTATCTGAAAGGCTACCTGTATCAGTTAGCTATTGCTTCCCAAGAAACCACCTTGATGCTTACTGGCATCAAACAACAACGATTTATTGTTTCTCCAGATTCTAAGGATGGCCAGGTGGTTTTTCTGCTGATCTTAT